AGAGGAAGAACAAATGAGAAGACGGGAGGAAGAAGAGTGTGAGGCAAAGAGGAGACTAGAGGAAAAAGAACAGAAGCAAAGGGAGGAAGAGGAAAGGATTAGGAAAGAGGAGGAGAGGAGACAGGAGGAAGAGGATAGGGCCATAAAAGAAAAGGAAGAATATGAGAGATTGGCAGAGGAAAGAGGGAAACTAGAGCAGAAAGAAAGGGAAAGGGTGGAGGCTGAAGAGAGAATTAAAAGGGAGCAAGAAGAAAGTATGAGGATGGAGGAAGAGAGGAAGAGGGAAGAAGAGGAAGCAGAGAGGGTTAGGAGAGAAGACGAGAAGAGGAGACTGGAAGAACAGGAAAAGACGATAATTGAGGAAGAAGAAAAAAGGCAAAGGGAGGAAGAAGAGAGAATTAGGAAAGAGGAAGCGCATAGGGCTAGGAAGGAAAAGGAAAAATATGAGAAAATGGTAGAAGAGAAGAGGAAACTGGAGGAACAAGAGAGAAGACAAAAAGAGGAAGAGGAGAGAATTAAACACGAAGAGGAAGAAAAAATTAGGATTGAGGAGGAGAGGAGGAGAAGAGAAGAGGATGAAGACCGGGCAAAAAAGGAAGAAATGGAAAGATTGGAAGAGGAAAAGAGGAGACTAGAGGAACAAGAGAAGAGGAGGATTGAAGAAGAAGGAAAAAGACAAAGGGAGGAAGAGGAGAGGAAGAGGAGGGTGGAGGAAGCTGGGAGGGAGAAAAGAGAGGAAGAGGCCAGAAAGCTTGAGATGGAAAAGTTAACAGACGCAGAAGAACAGAAGAAAAAAGACAATAAAACAAAGGATGGACACAAAGCTCCTGGGAAGAAATCCAAAGTGGCTGAGGAGAGTCCTGCAGGAGACACGTCCACTAACCCGTTTGATGAGACCTGCTCAAATAACGAGGACGTCCCAGACTCACCTGCTGCACCCGACAGCAGCCCCTCCAAAGTGTCAAAGGTCAAACAAGGGTTAGTACAAGTTGTCTTACACTACATGGATCCAAACTATTATATAAGTATTATAATCACAAGACAGTTTTAGTTCATGAGGTTTCACCTCTGTTTTAGAGCAATAAATAAATAATTAAAATCAAATTTACCAAAACAAGCTGCCTAAAATTACTGTAGCCATCTTTAAGAAGAATGTATTTGACGCCTCCTTCGACTTTAATTCGGTCCGTGTCCCCTCTGCTAACATGGAGGTGAAATTCACAACCACTGCTGCCACCAGGGGGCGATCAATATGATTTAGCTTCACTTTCAGGAAGCTGTCATGTCGTCCATCTTTGTGTACGGTCTATGTGCTGAAGAGTAGCAGGTAAAATGTTGACCGTTGCGAATCAAATTAGCATGTTAAAGTTTACACTCTTGAGACAAAGCAATAGAGGGCCATTGATTTAAGTCTTTGAAATTTTGACCTGATGATGGCGCTAGAGGAAAAGTAAAGGATCGGGAAAGTTACGACGTCGTCCAGAAGAATTAAACTCAATGTTGTTATCAGCATCGTTATTGTCACTAACACAACAGCACAAGGCAGTGTAACGTCTAACTTGTTATATTAAGTACAACAGGTACTTTACAGAACCTGTGATCGAATGTTCAGTTGTTACTCTCTCGCCTGTTTTACAGACACTGAAGTTCTCATTTCATTTAAAACTGACACCATCATGAAACTTGCATCAGTCCGTGCTTGTTCACTTGTGTTAGAGTTGTTGTGAGCGTGCAGACACACAAACATTCCACAGTGTGTGATGGTGAGGATACATTTCATTTGTTAACTGAGACTCCGCAGCTCAGTCTTACCTCATTATATTGAGTGTCGATTGAAGAGGGAGAGAAAATGACTCAAGGCTTGGAGTAATTTATTCTGAGTTTGACAGTGTTGGAGGTTGTTTCACAGAAATGTCTGGATGAGTTTCGCTCGGCATATTAATCTTTTTTCCTCCATTAACGAGGTAATGTTTTCACTCCCTGTCAAAAACAATAGAATACATGTTTTTCTTCACTCTATTGAACAATGTGAGGGCGTTTTTCAACATTTTCGTTGATTTCTCAGAGAATAATTTATGAATCTTGATGAAAAACCTTCATCTGGATCGAGTTTAAATGAGGGAACTTGAACAACTTTCTAGTTACGTCAGTATATTTTGTCATATTACACTGCTTCTATGCTGCTTTTAAAATGAGGACACTCTTGCTTGGTTATTAATTATTATCCAAGGACAGTTAATTATCTTATACTGTATCAGGTTTCCCTGTGAGATATTAGGTAACAGTAAGTCAGCTGTATCATTGTGTAGTATGTGTCTTTTTTCCAGATATACAGCTGCTGTGTCATCAGTGGGAAGCGAGACTCGTTCCGCTGATCAAAAGGACCTGATTGGTGCTCAGCGGGACAAGCGACTGGCTCCTCAGCCTCCAAGGGGGAATGTATCTGAGAGTCAGAGGGAGCAAGATGTTTCTAAACCACATCAGACACAAATGAACAAGCAGAGTAATGACAAAGACGTCAAAACCGCAAGTGTTCTCCCTCAGCGTTCGGTGCAAGTAATCACTCCCCTGAGTCAATCCCACAAAGATACGAAGAACTTCCAGAGCTCGATGCAAACTAGTACCGCCAAAGGAACAGGAGGTGTGGCCAAACACAGTAAACGCCCTGCACCATCTAGACCTTCAGAGAAAGAGGAGCTGTCGTCTAAACCGAAAAGCCTTTCCTCTTCCCTGGGAGGTGGCTCAGAGACAAAACAAGCCTCTGTCGTTTATGGCTCAAATCCATTTGAAGACGACGAAGATGAGCCCACAGCACAAGATGATACACCATCACCCCCCGATTCAGTACACTGGCCTCCATCTGTGTCCCAGGATGCCGCCTCTCAAGCTAAATTCAAATCCTCCAAAATGGCCCGTGCTCCTCCACCTCCTGCACAGACGGTTCCAACATCAAGCACTTTAGCGCAAGAAAACACAGACAGAGGTCACGTTACAGACCCTGCAGGTGTCGCTGCACCGGATAAAGGTGCAAAGCAAACGCGTGCCCCGCAGCCAGAGGTCGTGACCCCTGCTTCTATCAAGGACACTTCACTAAAAGAGCCGCAGCCTGCGAGAGCTCAAAGCACTGCAGAGGTGACGGGTGTGAAAAAGGAAGGGCCTCCTACGACGTCACGCAGGTGAGGCAGATCAGTTCCTCCACAGAGTGTTATGCAACTCATGCCTCTCCATTTTAAATTATACATCACACGCGGATAGCTGCAGATCTCATACACTGTCTTATAAAAGAAAACCATCACGCTTTGTATTCCTGTTAGTCGTCTATGATTCATCCTTATCTTTCATCCTTTTCATCCATCATTCATTTTTGCTTGAAATATTAACTGACTCGTATCCGATGAGGTTGGTGTTTATGAATCAGCTCGCAGCATTAACTCTGATCATATTCTGTTTGACAATTTGATCACTAAATACTGATGTTGATGATATGGAAGGTGGTACGTGTCATGAAATTCTTAACTTGCTCATCAATGCTCCATTTTTTTTCCTGTCTTCCAGCCAGTGTTTTCATCTTCCTCTGCTCTTCATTGTCTCTGCAGGCTTCAGCCGGTAAAACCTCTTAATCCTCCGGAACAGGAATCTGCCCCCGTTGTTCATTTGGAGAAAAATAACTCCACAGAAATTCTGAGTGAAGTTCAGGATAAAACAAAGGTAGTTGGTTTTAAACATTCATCACACTTACCTAAAGGAAATGGGGAATATTTGATACACTCAATGAAAGATTCCAATGTTAAAAACAAACACAAATGTAACACAGAACTTGCACTTTCTCAGATTCTCTCGCAGGTAAATGACAGTGGGACCAAAGGTCCGTACTCCCAGCTCACTCAGGAGGAACTCATCTCTCTGGTGCTGAAACAGGAGAAGCAGCTTTCTGAAAGAGACAAAACGATATCAGAGCTGGAGCTGTACATCGACAACTTACTCGTGCGCGTCATAGAAGAGAACCCCAGCATCCTGATGTCCTTGAGCTCTTTGAAGAGAACAGTGTAGGCGGATTCAGACGTGACGCTTTCTTTTCCATCTGTATAATTAATGTAGACCTGATCGACAACAGCTCCACAACAGTAAACTTCACCTAGAAATAGTTGTGGATTCTTTTCTGAAAGGTAGCAGGAGTAGAAGTTGAGGTTCAAGCCTTTTGTCATAGTTCCATAGAAGTAATAAGTCCTTTTTCTAAATATGTCTTAAAATGTGTTGACCCTTTTCTACATTATGTACATGTCCAACTTTGTAACTTGTGTATTTGTAATAATTATTTTCATGTTGAGCACAAATTCTGTCTGGTAATAAAACTTGATAGAAGTCTATTGTTGATTACGAGACTTGAACAAATTGTATTCTGTCTGTTTTCTCTCGTCTGTTAGCTTGACGTTCGCTGGTGATATATGTCCAGTGCACACAAGCCTTATTTTGCTGTTAATATGGGCTTTTTATGTAGATAAAGTTTCTTGCTCTTGTACTGAATGTCAAACGTATATGTGATTCTGGTAACCTTAAAAGCACTTTAATGAAGCTTATATTCTGTGATGCTCTACTGTACTGAGGCTTCATGCTATCAAAATATGCAAAATCAATAAACCCATGATTAAACAACCTTCTTGCTTTTCTGAGACAATACTGATTCTGATGTCTGAGTCACTTTTTAAATTTTAACATTGTCCTCAACAAAACCCACAATTTGTATTGTTTCAAATGTTAACAGTTCCTAACATCTTGTATCTTCTATCTAAATTCATTATGTAAGGACATTATAGTCCCGTCTGATATTTACTCATTTAGAATATCTACTGAAAATGTAAATGATTTATGTTAATGTACAAGATTACAGTAACTATTTAATTTGAAAGTCCCTTCCCATCAATTTTTGACTAATTCCTTGTTATTTAAACTTATTCAAATGAAATTGACTCATATTTACATTCATATTTTTTAGTCTATTGTAATATTCTATATTATCTGCATCATGCTCATGTTGTCTGCTATCATCTTCCATTGTTTCAATCTAATTGTTTCTTCCTTGCAAAGAAAAGTGTTAAATGATCTTACTATGTTTGAATTATTATATGACAATTATTAGTAGTAGTAGTATAATTACTATCATTGTTAGTAGTAGTAGTAGTAGTAGTAGTGCTAGTATCATTTAATATTGTTATTAGTAGTAGTAGAACTTGTAGCATTATTATTATTATTTGTAGTAGTATTAGTATCATCATCATTATTATTATTATTATTAGTAGTAGTAGTAGTAGTCGTAGTAGTTTTTTTCTCCTACGTCACGTCAAAGAGCAAGCGGAACGTATGAGTCACGGAACGTTGTATCTCGTCGGACACATTTGGCTCTCCCCCTCCAGACCTGCAGCAGAGTTGACTTGTTGTTCAGTGAGTTCAGACTCTGCGTGTTTCTCTGGAGACTCCTGAGACTCAGTGAACACCAGTCACGTGTCTTCATGTCTTCGTTAAACTCAGAGTTCTTTATAAAGCGTTGATTGATCCTGACGATGCCTCCGCCGGGTCTGCGCTGCCCGGGCTGCGGCTCCTCCAGCATCATCGACGATGACCTGCACTGTCAGGCCCAGCTGGTGTGTGTGGACTGCGGGGCTGTGGTGGCCGAGGGGGCGCTGGTCAATGATGCGGTCGGAGGTGCAGGTACGAACAGTGACGATGATCGATCACACAGACCTTTTCTGTTGAATCTGCCACCTCTGTTATAACTATCCAACTATGTTCATAACTATAAACAAGATTCACAAGACAAACACGTGTTCATCATCCTGCAGCTTCTCTTCTTACTCTGGTGTTAAAACACATGTCCCTTCCTGGTGCTTCACCTGACATCACCTGCTACCTTCATTCTGAATCCTACCTGGTCTGTTATTTGGATTGTGGTGCTCGCAATACGGAAAAGCAAATGTATTTTTTACATGTAATTCAAGAACACACAGTATGTTAAACATGAGTGAAATACAATCTGAAGACAGTTAAAGTAGATCTAATCAGATTGCAGTTTAATAGGAACAGCTAGGTAAAATGAAGACAGTCTGCTATAGCAAGAATATAATTATTGTCCTTTGAGAAGGTTATAATTAGAGCTGGGTGATGTGGTCAGAAATGATATCAAAATACATTTTATGTTAGAACACTTTTGTTCCCTGAGTGAAGCTTTTGGTTTGAAACTCTTCTTTATAGACAAAGAAACTCTTGATAAACAGCAAAACATTTGTTAAATCTGAGGTAGATCATTTGTATTATACTTCCTCACTTCCTCATTGTTTTTGTCTGGCACCCATTTTAAATGGGTTTCGCTGTGATTTAAAAACCCATGTAAACAAGCTAATTTTGGTATAAAGCGTATATTTGATTACATTGCCTTTGACTCTTTGTTCTTTTCACAGATGTCAACTACAGCCAAACCACAGCTGTGGCCAGAAAACCATGTCCAAACCTTGTATACGGTGAGACCTTCTCCCTGAGAGGACTTTGTTTATTATGACCCAGCAACTTCCTCTGTATAGCTGAGCTCTCACGTGCTCATTCTCATACATCTTTACAGGTTTACAGCGTGTGAGAGCCATATGCCGGACTCTCAGGGTCAACCATGAAATCGAGAATCTCTCACAGACAAACTACACGCAGGCTTATCAGCATGAACACTTCATTCATGTGAGCCTCCAGAAGAAGGAAGTTCTCGCTGGGTGCTGTGTGCTTGTAAGCTGCAGACTGCTTAACTGGCCCATCGCCATGGGAACCATCAGCTGCCTGCTGGATGCCGACCCAATGGTAGTGGGAGCAATTTATAAAGAAATGGTCCAGGCTCTCAACATTACGGCTCCGATAATTAACATCACGGATGTAATGGAAGCCCACAGTCAGGAGTAAGTGACTGTTTTCTGTTTTCTTACTTTGAAGCTACAGATAAATATCCATTAATTCCAAGCACAGACTGTATTTAAAGATGGACGACATGACAGCCCCTTTAAAAGTGAAGCCAAATCATCTTGATCACCGCCTGGTGGCTGGCTACAGTATAGCTCATATTCTCTGTTACACAGATGAATGGCAGTTTAAATAGAAAACAAACTGGTGGTTGAACTAACAATGTGAATGTTGTACATTTTTTATGAGTCAGACCTAAGTGGTCTTAGGGAGTAGGCAGAATGAACAAGCATCTGTGCTCTGAATAATACTACACAAGTGCTTTAATCTTACATGTACATCTAACACGCACTGGGAATGTTTTTCTTTCTCTAAGGTATAAAATTAGTTCTCTTCACGCTCCTGAAGAATTGGCCGCAGACCCTAAGCAGTTGAACAAGCGAGCAGTGGCTCTGGTGGAGCTGGCAGCCGATACCTGGATTGTCACTGGCCGTCAGCCCATCCCCATCATGATGTCGGCAATCTATTTGTCTTGGCAGTCACTGAAACCCACTAAACTGCGGCTGAAACTCCCTCTGGAAAAATTCTGTAAGATTGCAAAAGTCAATAAGCACAAAGTTGCTTTGAAGAGAGTTGATGAGATGAAGGAGGTGCTGTGTAAGCTGGGCAAGGAACTCCCCTGGATCAAGGAAGACGTGACTCCAGAGAATGTGGTCAAACACGTGGAGGATATTCTGCAGTACAGGTACGCCCTGCTAAGGAGGGCTCTGAGAACCCATGAGGAAACTCTGCAAGAGGAGTTTCAGACCAGCTGTGAGGACTCTCTAAATGAGAAGAGCGCTCCATCCAAAATCCCAGAAATTAAAAATTCATCCTCTGTGGAACGATGCGAAGTAAAGACTGATAGGTCCGAGCAACCAGGATATGGAGATGATGATCCATGCACGGTGCCTGAGCCGCACAGCAGTGCTCAGGGGAACCAAGAACCAAACTGGGGGAAGAGAATGCTGTTTGCTCCCCCGTGTGTTGTTCACCCCAAGAAGAGGAGAGTGGAGCAGCCACAGCCCACAGATGTAACTGGTGATGAAGAAATCTCAGACAGTGAAATTAACTCATACATTCGCACGCCTCAAGAAGTGAGAGACTTCGCTCGAATGCAGATGTTGTCTGAAAAGAAGTAATCGACCGTGTATGGAGAGCAACGTTTTACTCAATGGTTATTTGTTATACAAGTTATGATGCAGATTTTAATTCAGAAAATGGAAGCAAATGTTTCTCATTTGGATTTTGACAATAAAATGCTGCCGCAATGTTTTTTTATGTAGTTTTATTCATTATTACCTCTGCCAAAGAGGTTATGTTTCCCTTAGTGTTTCGTTTGTTGTTAGTCTGTTTGTATGATGTACACATGTAGACATAATGTATATGACTTTATTCAGGTTAAGGAAATCAGAAAATTCAGAATTTGTGTTAATAAGTTTGATATCAGAATATTGGTGTGAATGTAAATATTTCTACTGATGCAGGATAGTGTCCATGAATACATCAAATACGCTGAATGTCTGAATCAGGCCTGTAGTCGATATGTAGAAACCACCTCTGTTCTCCCTGTTATTTAATAAGTAAATATAATCTATGAACATGTTGGTCATAATTCCCTTCTGTTTTCTGTCATCATGCAGTTCCATTGATCTCAAACACAGAGGTCGTCTGGTTTTGTCTTTTTATTCACAGTGTGTGTTGGCACAGACCACTTCAAATAACTTTGTAGCATGTAACATCACAAATAATATATACTAATATTGAAAGCACTGTATACTGTATGTATCCAAAGCCATTTTGTTGGAGAGTCGATGATGATGGGAAAGAGCAACTATAACAGCAGTGGTTAATCACTTCAGTGACACTTTAGTCCACCTCCACTCCTACCTTGAGTCAGAGGACATGTATGCATGTACAGAATACAGACCAGCACAGAGAACACGAAACCAACCACCACACTTCAATACATCCAATTTTACAACCATTGTTTAAAGCCAATTTACAAGGCTATTAGAAATTGTTTAATAAATTATACAGCAAGGTGCATATTCAACCTTGGGCTATAAGAAAATTAAAGCCCAGGGGCACAAGTTCATGATAATAATTTATTCCATCAGGCTCTAGAGGAGGAGCACTAGATTATTAGATCTGACACCAATGCCCCGGTGTAAAACAAACTCATCTGTGGTGACCACTCCAAACGCGACCTGAACGGAGGGTCTCATTTGCTTTTCATATATTCAGCTTCACTTTGTTCATCAACCTTTATCTGGCCTTTCTAGTTCATTATAGTTTTTTATCCTCATTCGTTTGTTAACAGACATTTATGACACCCATAAGATTTCATCTCTTCCATCACAGGGACAGTATCTCATTCTTACAGATATACATCTTTCCATATACAGTAGGTTAGAACAGTAGCCTACATATACATTGCAGTGTGTTACATCAAATATTGAAAAGCATTCTTAGATATTTTAAGCCTTTACCTCACAAAGATAAAATCTGTTATGAACAAGTCCATGAATGGATGGATGAATCAAAGGGTCAGCCCACGTTTGGCCCAGTGTCGGTCGGTCTGTTCATGTATTACTCCAGAGAAAGAGATCTGGACAGCCGCTGGCCTGGGTGCCTTGAAGTTTGGTGTGGACAGTCGTGGTTTCCAGAGGGGGATCCCAAACCCATAATGTACCTTTGTAGAGCTTTTCCATGATATGAGTGACCTCTGGCCTTTTATTCAACACCCCCATCATAACCCAACACCATAGTCCAGGACAAGGTATCTTCATAATGAATGATCTGATTTCTATTGAATCTGCTGCTGTGATTCATGCCTCCCAGAGAATAGGTTTTAATGGTACTAGCCACCCATTTAAATTTAATATACAGTAGTGACCCTTTGTCTATTCATTTTTGTAGAAGAAATCTCAAAGTCCAAGTGGCAGATTGTCATGAAATCTACTGGGCACACTCGTGATTCCCAGAGGATGAACCCTCAGCAGGTTGTACTCTGTGGGATTTCTCCTGTAGCAGCAACCTTGTGGCAAATAATCAACTTTTTGTGGTGTTTAATTTGGAGATATGCGTGACCCATAGAGAATAAAGAATCTTTTGTTTGCTCCTGTTGGTGGGGGGAAATTTCTTCTTCCCTTTAACGAAATTGACTTTTACAAACCCCAGAAAAATGGCCTCTGTTCAAGAGCTACCCCGGGCTAATACATTGCCTTTGTACACAACATAATAGTCAATGCACTGCCAGGAAAACATGTCTTGTGGATATTATCAGTGGCCACAGGATGAACTCCATTCATTCTGCACCACGCTGAAGATTTTCAGCAATCGATTACAAGACCACACTGGCGGCACAGTGATTGGCAGGCACTCCAATTCGATGGCGGCACTTGAACATCTTGCGCAGCTCAGTGCGGAAGCGGTCGTGTAGCCATGCGTAGAGGAAAGGGTTGCAGCAAGAGGAGCTCATGGCGCACAGGTGGCACAGCAGTTGTATAAGCAAGAAGTAGCGCTTGTTGATAAGGTGGATGTCAACGTCTCGCAGCACGTTGAACACATGAATCGGGAGCCAGCACACCGCAAAGGCAGACACCAGGAGTGCGACCAAGCGAAAGATCTTCCTCTTACGAGCCTGCTGAGCACCTGTCTGGTCTTGTGTCCTGTGGCCTGGTGCAACACAGTTCCTCAGTTTGACAGTGATGCACAGATAAGAGATGAAGACGGCTGACAGTGGCAGGACATATGTGACCAGCAGGGTGCTGTATGCATAAGCACGTCTTTCTTTCTCTTGTCCCAACCAGAACTCCTCACAAATGGTGAAGCCCTCCTCTTTGAATTCGACGTGGTAGGTGTGGGTCACTGCCGGAGCCACCAGCCCGCAGGACAGCAGCCAGATGCCTGTGAGGACAGAGGCACAGGTGGCCACTGAGGTGCGCTTCTTTAGGGGATGAACAGTTGCGTAATATCTGCAATAGAAATGAACAAGAAACAGTAGTAGATGATAATAATTTCACAAACGAATGCATAGTTAACACTTGAATGTGAATGAGTTGAGTGCAAACCTCAAGGCCCTCAAATAAAACCACATTTTAATTCACTAGATCTGGATTTGGTTTTGGGTTAGCCTCAAACTGCACACACTTATAATATTCGTCCCATAAACATATGATTTCTTTTTCAAGATCCATGAATTATTCTCATGTTCTGTGCTTTAAATAACAGACAGAGCAGACCAAGAAGAAACAGAGGAAAATAACTTGTGATAAAATGATAGTAATAACACGCAGATTCTCTTTGAAAGCAAAACCAAGGTCAGATAACTCTCACATCCGAAGCTCCAGAGGGACAGAAACCAACAGGAAGCTTTATGCTGCAGGATCTTTAATTTCTATTTCTCTTTCTTTTGCACAGTGAGCAGCAGATCTATGGGGGTCTGTGAGAGGGACGTGTCAGTTGAGCCCACACCTGATTCTTCCTTTATGTGCACAAAGCACAAAGCAAGATAATCTGATTTGTGATTTTGTTCCCATCTGCCGCGGCTGTTTTACATTTCGTCTTAGTTTAGATTTAGAAGCTAGAAGCCAAACCATGAAACTCACTTGAAAGTTTCAGTCGTGCAGCAACGTAGGGTTAAATTCAATTATGACTCAATAATTAAACATGAGTGATGAATCTGTACTGTGAAAAATAAGTACATTATAATCAGCCTCCCTAATTTCTAGATATAAATGATGACTGACTATGATCATGTTTAATTTCTGCCTTGGCACTCCACTCATACTTAGAATGGTGTGTAAATTGATTATATATAGAAGAAAGTAATCTTATCTAATTAGGCCTATTCAATCAGGATGGTCTCTTGAGATATAAATAGTTTCATCAATAATTTCTTGGACTGACACAAACCAGCACAAGCTGTGAAGAGAGCTTAAAGGTTCAGTGAGTAGAATTTATCGATGACGTAGCACGTTGCAGCTGAATACCCCCCACCTCACCCTCCTCTTCCAAACCTGAAAGAGAACCTGTGGCAGCCTTCAGTTGTCATAAAAACTCAAAAGGTTTAGTTTGTACAGTTTGTGCTACTGTGAAAAACATGGCAGCCTCAATAGAGAGGAGATGTAAATATAAAGTATTTAACTATAAAGAGCTCATTCACGGGTAAAGAAAACAACAATCCGTTCAATTTAGATGAAACACACTTGTAAACACATCACTGGGATTATTATTATTATATAATAATATTATTATACCAATTCTTGCACATTGAACCTTTAGGGAAAATAAAAAGAAAGACTTCAAAATCTGACTGAAGTTTTGAGTGGCATTCCAAATCCTCATCCACCCACCTGTCCACCGCAATAGCTGTGAGTGTGAAGACTGAAACGTAGACTGTGACCGGTTGGACGAGGAACACCACATAACACATTGAGCGGCCAAATACCCAACCGTGTGGATTGAAGGCGTAGGCGAGAGTGAAAGGGACACAAGTCACACACATGAGCATGTCGGAGAAGGCCAGGTTGCCGATGAAGAAATTGGTGACACTGTGCATCTTTCGGGTTCGGCAGATGACGTAGAGGAGCAGGTAGTTCCCGAAGACGCCCACCACCACCACCAGCACATAGCAGGGGATAATGAGGGACTTGAACTTCTGCAGCAGAGCCACGTCTGCAAACTGGGAGGTGTGATTAGTGGAGTTGCTCTGCACCGCGACCTCGTAAATGCGCCCGTCCATCTGCTCTCCTGACACAGATGGTTGTGTGACTCCGACCGAGCCACTGTGGTGCTCCCCCATGGTCTGTCTGTTCCCACACTGTTCAAAACAAAAGCTGTTATGGCAGAACATTAATAACATCTGTAATGAGGACAGGTCACAACATAGATATAAGTGGAAGGCCATTTCTCAGTGTGCATGCTTTTACCAACTCAGTGAGAGGCAAAGAGCATATTATTAAAATGTTTATGATTATGAGGGTTTTTGATGTTGAGAACATCGATGACCCTGAGGTCTCTGTGTAAATCTTGGATTTTCTCTCAGACGCATCTAAATGGACCAAGGGATGTCATCAACACAACATTTTTTTGAGCCACATTTGATCCTATATATCACTCACTATACACACTCCAGCTGCCACACTTTGTCTGATTGAACAGATTCAGTAGCTAATGCTCACTTCAAGGTGAAGCTTTAGTGATGTGCCTCGGCTGCGAGGTTTCTTTGGATAAAAGTGTCTGCCACATGTATAAATGGGATGGAATGAAATGAATGTGAAGAGCCAAGATGAGCCAGCTGGTGTCACGCCTCCTCTGCTGAAATGTGCATCTGGGAAATGTCAAATCACAAGGTTGTACTGTTGTGTTTCAGTGTGATTAACTGAGGTGCCGACTGTATTCAGCATAGTTCAGCAAGTGTGATGCTTTATTTTAACGCACCTTATTAAACAGTGGAAATATTTGTTACTTGAGGGTCATCGTCACTTGGATGAGAATGATTAACAGGCAAAATTAAAGGAAGGATAATTGCAACATAATATTCCCTTTGGAGTGAGATTTCCAAATATCTCCTCTTTCCTCTGAGCATTAAACTGGTTTTCAGTCTTCATGTTAATAATTGTCTAATTAAGAGTCACTCAGTGATCGTCTACATATGATCACTGTTGCTCTGCGCTTATTTGCAATGTTTTGTGCATAATTTCCGACTGTGGAACTTTGTGAGCTTCTCACTGTGATATACGCAGCAGATGAAAAGACTGATCATGGACAGATTATCAGAATATTCATGGACAGTGTGGAAGAGAGATTTTAGGTAGTCACAGGTTTTTTTTTCCTCCCACTGTAACTGAAAAATTTAATGATCACAGTTGAGTGAGAGTCTAAGTGCTTTGGGCTAATTGCCGAATTAACATGTACAGTGCATTAAGCACCGGTCCTGTCAGTAAACTTGGATGATTTCCTTGAATATGACTATAAACAGAAAAGGAAATGGATTATGAAGGACCTGCCTTGTGTGAAAGGGCTTTCACTTACATGTAGAGAATATGATCTGTGTCTAAACGTTCACATTTTCTTTCTCATGAGCAACATATCTGCTTTCATTTTAAAGTACATTTCAATGTATTTGTTGTTTCTTCCCTGTGTTATTCCTGTGGGGATTTGTTCCTGCACCATACTCAATCATTTGTGGACCAGATTTCAATTTTTTTCCCAAATTTATCTCCCACATTATTATCTGCATAGTCTGAATTTATTATAGGAAGCGAGATAATATCTTCTAGATTGGATTAATGTCAATAAGACAAGGCACATACCATATCCTCCATTAGACCATACCTCATAACACATTTATATAAATATGCATATCCTGGGTGTGAGCTAAAGACCTCACCTAATGAGCCCCAACAATGTTGCCTGCATCACATGCATTTGGGAATTCATAAATATTCTGACCTTTATGACGAGTGAATATTTTGCTCATTAGCACCGAATGATGTAAATGTGTAAAACTTGTGTTTCATTTTATTTCCACTACTTTTAATAGAAGAGTTGCAGTCAAATAATCATATCTGAGAAAATATGCTCCCTCGCCCTGTGATAACATGCAAACAATACATTAATAAACAGATAAGCAGACAAAAGTCACTTACCTTTGCTTGTGTTTGTGTGTAAAGATGAGAGTATGAGGAGCCGACCGTCCTTCAGCACCTCTCCTCGGTGAATGAGCTGGAGCTGCTGCTGAGTTAGAACGAGAGACAAACAGAGCGAGGGAGGGAGAAATGACTGTAAGCCAATAACACGGCAGAGACCCAAAAAAGATCGATGCACAGGTCTGACTTGTCAGTTCACAGATTGATCCTGGGGTGAAGACGATAAAGGAGATTATTGATTACTTGTTTGCTGTTGTATTCCCAGGTAGGCTCCCCAGATGACTGGTGAATTAAAACCACATTGAAGTGTTTTCAGATAGTGTGCAGTGTGCATTGATCATTGATCATTGTAATTCAGATCAGTAGACAAATGGTAAGTTTTAGTGGAACTAAAAATTCTTACCCCTTATGATAACTTATGATAGGGCTTCTGTTTAAAAAACCTGTTTTTAATAAACTATTTTTAGACTGCATGTGATGGGGACAGCATGTAAAGCTTCTTGCTTAAGAAAAGCTTTTTAAAAATGTCTCATTTTTTACAGCATAATGCTCCAAACTCCCACATTGACAAATGAGTGCTCGCATTAATTCCACGGTCCACAAGCCCTCTCTGCGTAAAAGGTTTTAAAGTCTACAGTAATTCACAATATGTTCCTCAGAGTACAGGATACAAGTAATAACATAATTACCTTTTCATTGTAGATGCAGGATGAGTGATGGAAGTCAGGCCTGTTAAGTGGCATGAGCTATAAATAAACTTCACACACACTCAAGTCATCTGAGTTTTGCACAATGTGAACAAAATAGCCGGGTTTATTGTAGGCATACTTTTTCCATTTGGCCAATTTATGTGACACAAACAAAGCTTTCTTGAAGCAGCAAACTGCTTCAACTGCAAATGGTGAATGGACTGCTCTTACATGGTACCTTTTATAAAATCCTCCTTCACCCATTCACACACTCACACACCAGCAGCGGCTGAGCTGTCAAGGTGCTGGCCTCTCCATCGGAAGCAACGGAGGGATTCTTGCTGCAAAGCGTTCGTGGAGTGATCAGGGGAGATGGCTGTGGGGCCAATTCATTTTCCAAGTTGACTTTTAAAAAACTGCACACAAATTTCATAGACTTCATTGTCAATTTTCAATTTGACTTGAATCAAGAATAATGCGGGCGTTCATTAAAATGACAAGAGGCAAGTTATTACATGTCTTTGGAGTAAAAATGCTGAAACCTGTTATTGTAGTTTAACTGGAAGAAACTGTGTGGGTGGTGGAGATGTGGCAGATTTAGATAAATAGGTTGATCAATTCTATCCAGGGGTTTTATTGTTAGGTTAACTCCCTCTATTGATTCATTATAGATGAATAATAAGTCATTTAAAGATATTTATTGTTGTTGAATATGGGTGGATAGGACATACAGCTGTTTCACACAGTCAAAATTTCAGAGGAAAAGTACGAGAGAGCTCAACACCCCCTCATAGAGATGGTGTGAGGTGACTCCCTTATGAGTCATGCGGTTATTTCAGAGAAAAGGTGATATGCATTCAACATGTTTTGTTGACTGACTCACGTCCTGATCTTTCTTATGCATTTAGAATGAAGGTCAAGGAATGTACAGAATTCAAGTCAGTACGTTATTGTGTGTGTGTGTGTGTGTGTGTGTGATTTTGACACAAATCTTTCTCTCTGCATTCTATGTGTATTTCCCAAAACCACATCCTTATGTTCAAGTAGTTACAGCTGAACTTTGGATTTCATTATGTCATAACAACAATGACTCTTTTTCCCAGAGCCTGCTCCATTATAATGTGAGTGTTATCAGCACTTAGCATTCTGTTAGTGAAGGACTGAACGTCTCCCTGTAGCTTGTCCTTCAATCTAATCTTTGAATACCTCACACACACTCTCTTTCTTTCTCCCCTCCTCTTTAATCCCCTGTGAAAAAACTATTTTCTTTCTATCTATTATGATTATTATCCATCTCACTCTGAGGATCAGACATTTTTAGCAGAACAAAATGCTGCTTTGTCTCTCTGCTGAACACTCTCAGAGAAACACACTGCAGATGTTTCTAGTGTAATTAAAAATAACCCTGAATAGGACAAAGAAATTCTGAGTGAGTTTAGCTGCGCTAATGAAGCTACATTTATCAAACAGATCACCCACCTGTTACCAAAAAAATAGATTTTTAAATTTGAATTTTTATGAGCACTTTCATTGAAGTGAAGCTGAAACTAGGTTGAAATATTCCTCTGAAGAACTTGCACCAATTGTAAGATTTCGTTTAAATGACAAGTCAGAGTCGCGATATCATTTGCACATTTCCTTCAGCTTCACCTGCAGTCTGACATGTACCCTGAACACAACACGACAGGAACACTGAGGCTGACGATTGACTGAGAAAACAGAAAACTTGTCTTGTTCGATGTTGCTTATGATCCCCTGTACCTTTTTCATAATCACTCTCTGTGATTTATTTCCCTCTGACTCTCACCACCTTCCCTTACTCTCTGCTGTCCGCTGTGATCAGAACAAAGGGCCGGTCCTCTGTCTGACACAATTGTTTGTTTGCCCTCCCCCGTGCACAAGGCCTATTTTACTACCTGAGTTTTCTCTTTGTGATCATGTTTCTGGCAGAGTCACTAGACTGTCCTCAGATGTCAGCAGTTAAATGAGAAGTAAAAAACAGTGAGTAATTAGAATGAGACAATCTAATCCTATTTTACTTGATGAAAATGTTTTATTTTTTCAGCAGGAAAGACAATCTTTTTCTTTTTTCTTAAATAAAAATGGCTGCAAAGTAGAGCTCATTCCTCCGGCAAGGCCCAACAGTCCCCTTGATTTCAATCTAGCTGCATCAGATTTCACACATTCAGAGATAACAGTTCTCTAAATGTGTTTCTTGATAAATTGTTACCTGGGAAAACAGTGCACATGTTGGAAAGAGCACTTGATGAAAATATAACCTATTTGGCGAAATCAGGCAAAATGAAATAAGTCGCACTGACAACAAAACTCCAGGAAGTCGGTACTCCTAAAAATCAGTCCCAGTAAACATTGTAAAGAAGAGAACGTTAGAACAACTCTTAAATCAAAGGAAACATATTTTACCATATTTTCATGATGATAAAACTTATATTGAGTTTGACTCAGAATTAAAAGCTATACTAACTTGGATTAGATTGTACACAATTCACATTCACCTATCCACAACAGTGCATGCAGACTGGAGGAGCCAGGAATCAAATCACTGACCTTCTGTTTAATGGACGACCCGCTCTACCTCCCGAGCCACAGTTTCCCACAATACATTTATAACGGAAATAATTGATTATATACAAATGTTCAGATAAGGTCAATATACCAAAACACTCAATCCTCACATGAGGAAAACAGGAAAGAGAACAGGCATAATATCAATAATATAGATGTCGATGCTTCTATCCTACAGGGAGCAACCATTTTAGACAGCTTCTTTGTTAATGCTGCATCATTATAACTTCACCGGGTTTGAGCTGAAGGTTTCATTTCCTTTGACTTGATGTTTTGATGTTTTAATGATGTTCTGTTCTCAGCTTGTGTCAAAAAACGTCACATATGTCATTCTGTTGAGTGTAAAGACTGGATCAGGACATGTGTGCCACTTCTGTTGCCATGGTAATATTGAAAGCGTTATTATGTTTATTCATGCATTTGGGGTTATTTATAAAACCGTGAAAAATGTATGTGAACAAACTGTCCCCCAGTTTTGTTCAGTATGCTCCTTGAGTTATAAACTGTGGCTGTCTTTATCTTTCACTGCCTTGTTTGTTATCTCCGCTCAGGCTTTTT